GCCTTAGGGATTCTTGCCACTAAGCCACCAGAGCTCCCAGTGCATAAATAGAATAAATTAGAATAGAATAGAATAGAATAGAATAGAATAGAATAAAATAGAATAGAATAGAATAGAATAGAATAGAATAGAACAGAATAGAAAGAATAGGATACATATAATACAAATATATATAACTATGCAATAAATAATAAAAACATATATGCCATTATGTGATACTGATGTGTCAAATGCTTCCTTCAAATTAGGGAATTATGTATTAGTGCAACAGATCAAATTCCTTTTCATTTTCCTTCTTGTTGTTGTTGTTGTTATGAGCCATTGAGTTGCCCACTACTCATAGTGACCTGACTACAACAGCCCTGAAGCCTGCCCTGTCTTGAGACAATCTCACTGACTCCAACACACCTGCACCTATTATCCCAGGTACTCTGTCAATCTACTTCATCTTCATTTTTATTATGATTTTGTTAATAATCCAGGACTTGAAAGAAGTGTGTGTGTGTGTGTGTGTATTTTTAATCTCAAGTAAGTAAAGATTTGTATCACAGTCATCATGCTATTCTTCAGGCAGCTCTCAAAAGAACACAAACCCAAGTCATTGCTGCTGAGTGAGAACTGATGAAGAGCTGGTCCTTCTGTGTGTTTTCAGAGGCTGTAAATCCCACAGGAGGAGACTGGTCATCATTCTCTGGTGGAGCATCTGCTGAATTTGAACCACTTTTATCTTAGCAGCAAACCTCCTTACCTCCTAGGCCATTAGAGCTCATAAACATACCATAAATGCACATAAACATTCACTTTCTTAGGACACAGAGTTATCATGAAGATACAAACCTAGCAATCAAAATGTTACCTTCTCTAAGAAGACATCTAAGAGTGAACAAGGTTTTCTGTCATTGTGAAAGCATTACACTTATTGCAGACTGTCTACACTATCAGCCCATGGTTTGGCTTGAGTCAAAGCTCATTAATATGCCGGGTCACACGTTACTTTAAACTCTTTGGGAAAATTTCCTTTATTGAAAGCATTTTCTAAATGATCCCACAGGAGAGAGTACTGAAAAACAACAACAATAAAAAAAAAAACCCAAAGCAAAACCCAACCCCACTGCTTCCGGGTTGGTCCCGGCTCACAGCAATCTCTCCCCTGTCAGGGTTTCGAGACTGTATATCTCTGTGGGAGGAGATTGGTGTCTTTCTCTTGCGGAGTGGCTGGTGGGTTTAACCGTCTGCCTTTCATCTTGCAGCCCCACGTGTGAGGGACTGTGCCACCAGGGCTCTGCCACAAGAATGCAGGTAATTGACACAGGTCACTGAGATCTGAAGCAGGGAGGGCCAGGGGACCCAGAAGAAAAACGGAAGTTTAAAATAACAAAATCATTTCTGCAACTTAGAAATTCTACCTCAATCACTTTTTAAAAATAATAACAGGTCCTAAGTTTTAGACATGAATTGTTTTCCTCACAGGGACCATCTGGGAATCCCCTGTGTGGTTCAAATGGGCATGATGACTAGACAAAGGTCAGCGGTCAGAACCCTCTCAGTTGGGCCTGAGAAGAGAGGCCGGTGATCTACTCCCAGAAGGCCTTGGGAAGTCCATGGCGCATGTGACTCAGAATAGCCATCACAGTAACTAACAATAGGGATCCTTCAGGGGGCTTTGTAGTTCAATGGTAGAACTTTCTCCTCTCCTGTAGGAGACCCAGGTTCGATACCTGGCCAATCCAGCTCATATGCCACCGTTTTCTGTCTGCTGGTGGCAGCTGTATATTGCTCTGGTGCTCAACAGACTTCTGTGGAACCTCCAGACTAGAAAGAAAAGCTTGGTGATCTAGTTCCAAAAGTCAGTGAGTGAAAATGCTTTGGAACACAACAGTCAGATCCCAGGTTGGCTCAGGACCAGGTCATGTTTTCTCCGAGTGTGTGTGGGATCACCAATTTGATGGCTGTTAACAACAAGGCCAAATTCAACCAATTTGGGACTAACTCTTCCCACCACCTGTGCTAAACTGAACTGCTCAATATGTGTTTAGCTATCCTTTCAAGTAATAGAAACAAAATAACAAAAGAGAGCACAGTCCTCACTTTGACACCCCCACTTCCCCTTCTAGAACCTCTGGTGGCCAAGCGGTAGGGAGTTGTGCTGCCAACCCGCAGTTCAAATCCACCAGTTATTCTTTGGGAGGAAAGTGGGCAATCTCCTTCTGTGCAATTTACAGCCTCTGCAAAGTTCCTGGAGGGTCAGCCAGGAGTCGGTTCTGACTCCTAACAATGGACTGAGTTCACTGTTGACTAGGAGGCAGCCATGTTGGCTGGAAAATGGAGCCTCGTCTGCTTTTTCATTATCTCATCTCCACAAAGCACTCACTGCTCCAGCCAAAACTCCAGTCTCAACTTGCTCACATGAGGGCTGTGCTATGAAACAGTGACAATTTTTCTCTCTGTTATTTGGATTTTCATTATTTTATCAATTGTAAAAGCAATATTACAACTTTTGTGCTTTCTATAATAAAGTCAGGATGACTCTATTCTCCAATGACCACTGTACAAAGTTCATGGTGGGTTAAATTCAGGGAGAAAAAGAGCAGCTGCCCTCAACAAAATAGCATAAAATTAGAGTTTAAGATTTACAAACTCCAGTAGTGTGGTGTGTTAGGTGTTCCAGTGCTAACAGAAAGATCAGCAGTTCGAATCTACCAGTCATTTTGAATCTCCTACTTGGAAGAAAGATGGGTAAAATCCTAATGAGATTTACAGCTTCGGAAATCCAATGGTGGGGCTGGATTTAGCTCAGCAGGAGGGAATCCAATGGGAGGCTGGATTCAACTGGATTAAAAAGAGCAGTGGGTTTTAAATTCCTTAAAGAGTTTAATATTTAGGAAATTATATTCCAAAATTTTTGATATACACGTTTGGTCATATAGAGTTTTTAATTTGCCTATGTTCATAAAAGAAAAATCACTGTTCAGTGTTCAAGTTCATTTTTTGCAGGTGAGAGAAGTGATTGAAAATAGCCTTTTCTGCCCTCTAATTTAAAAGGCCGGCAGCGATTCCTTTCATCCACTTGACTTTCCACGAAAATAGCCCTGTGTAGAATTGCCCGTCCCTGCTATCCTCAGAAAGCCTGCACACACAGTCCCTCTTGGGTCTGGCCTGACACCGGCGCTCTGAGCTTTCCCCCTCCCTACAGGCCCTGCAACACATCTGGGCTCGCTGCCAAGACTCAGCAGGCTGGAGCATGGGGCGATCTGCCAGCCTGGCAGACACAGAAGCCCTTCACTTTACCACTGCATTCGGAGATACACATGTTTGTTAAAGCATTTGTTTTCTCCCAGCACAAAAGTGTTGCAGGAAGAGAACACCCCCACAGGGATGCCCCGGGGTTAAGTCTCTAACCACAGAGCCCACAGAGGTGGGTCCATTTCCATTCTGAGCCAGATCTGGATGAGAGATTGTCAGGAAGGCAACCCAAGGCTCTTGTAGTGGAAGCTGAAGGTTCCAGTGAACACAGCCCTCACTCCCAAGTGGCCATCAACTATACGGGGTCTTCTCCCTCTGTCACTGAGACAGACACTGGGGAGGTTCCCCGTCCTTCTTCTCTTAGGTTGTCCCCACACACAAAAAGAACCCAGGTTTTAAGAAAACCCTTTAGACAACAAAAGGTATTTGAGGGAGGAGGTGTATGTCCACTGTATTTTGAGTAGAATCCAAGGCAGTTTGAAAGAATGAAACCCTGTTCCTCCTGCAGTGATTAACTTTGTCAATGTCTCTCTAAAGGTAATGAGTTAGAGCTTCCAACCCAAAGACTGGCAGTTTGAATCCACCAGGGGCTTTGATGGGAGGGGGAAATGGGCAGTCTCTCCTGCATGGTCTCAGAAATGGCACTGAAGGTCACTACGAATGTGGACTGACTCAATGGTCATGGGTTTAATTTTGGCTTTTAAAGTGTTATCTATCTCCGGCTTCTTAATTACCAAGTGATGGTATATTTTGGTGATAAACATGCTGACTTCGTGTACAGCGCTAAGCATAGACTCCTTGTTTGTGTGTATCCTAGAAACAAGTCCTGGAAATGTAATTGTTCTAAATCTAGCTGAGCGCTTTCCTCTCACTTCATTCGCCAGGTACTTTCCTAAGTTATGAACTGGTAAAAAAATAAAAACAACAACAACAACAAAAACACCCATTAAGCAAATCTACAAATGCTACTTATATAAATAGGAATAAATCCTGTTCTTCCAGCTACAAAGTGACTAGTAACCACAAAAGTAATCTATAAAATACCCAAAGTGAAGTTGGTATGTTTGCAGGCTTGCTTTTCTGTTTTTCACTCACTCGCTGGCCATGGCCATGGAGTCAGAACCCATTCATTGCTGACCCTCCAGTGGGCTTCCCAGGTGCAATCATGTGGGAGGAGACCGTCCACATTTTTCGTAAGGCATGGCTGGTGGACTCGAATCACAACCGAGGCGTGGTCTTCCACTACCATGGTAAGTGAGCTCCAGCTAATGTGTCCACAATGGTACAAATAACAAGAAGGGGGTATTTCTCCCAGGAAAGTGAATCACTGAGGTTCCCCCCACCCCACTTTGTACCCTTTGAATCCTCTTCTGATGCTCTGCCTTCAGAGGGTGTCAGTGACAACCACATCCCAAGATATTAGCACCTGGAGTTCCGTTTGGCACTAAGGAGAGGAAGCCATCATCCTACCTTGTGTGAACCGGGTGACACTGTGGTTGCCTCTGCCCAGGTTGAAGAGGTAGCCATGCTGAGGGGTCTTCGTGACAATAAACCTGAGCGACACATGCAAGCTGTCTCTGTCCTCCACTTTCAAGATCTTGTTTGTGATCATGAACCCTAGATGACCAGTGGCCAAGGTACGAAGAGTGGAAGCACCTTTATTGACCACCATTTGGGGTACCCTATTGTCAACAGCCAAGACCTGGACCCTCATCACTTGGGGTCTCCTGGTCTCGAATACCGTGTCAGGAAACACGTAGAAGTCGGTGTGGGTGCCATCGGTCACGGTGAAGGAGAAGCTGTCCTCGCTGGACTCGGAGCCATCATGTTTGTAGCTGATCAAGTTCTCGGTCAAGTCCTGTTTGGTGAAGACCATGACAGGCCTGGTGGTGTTGAAGAGGAGGTGGCCATGCACAGGCCCCTGGGTAACCGTGAACTTCAGGAGCTTGTCGGGAGTGTCTCGGTCTTCCACAGTGAGTTCGAAGGGTGTGATCAGCTTGTTCTCACCCTCGCTGATGACCAAGCTGTGGATGGTCACTACCGGCTTCTTGTTGTCCACGTCGCTGATGGAGATCCGGAAGGTCCGAAAGACGGGGTTCCGGCCGTCAGTGACCTGGAACTCAAAACTGTCCATCTTGACCTCATCCTCAGCTGTGTGGATATAGTAGATCTTGTTGCCAGCCAGTTGGAGCTGCGTGAAGGACGAGATGGACACGCCAGGCTGGTCTGTGCACTCCAAGTGGCCTCTCACAGGAGCTCTGGTGATGGTAAAAACCAGGCTCTCATCCGGACTGTTCAAGTCACTGGTGCTTAGCAGGTCTGTGGTGAGGGTCACCTTCCCCCCTTCTCTCAGAGACACGCCCTTACTCACCACATCAGGGAAGACCACGTCAACACTGCCCACGGACACGTAAAAGTAGCGATCTATTAGGGCGTTGGTCCCATCGGTTACATCAAACTTAATCAGGTCCCGGATGCCCTCCTGCCCAGAATGGACGTACTGAATGAGGTTTCTGTCCACTTCATCCTGGGTGAAGTTCATCCCCAAAGTTATATTTTCAAAGGCACCTGACGGTTTTCGTTTCTGTAAGAAGCCGTGCCCAGGACCATAACGAATAACATAAACTAAGGCTTTGTCTTCAGAATCCAGATCGGTGGCCATTAATACCTTGTTGCTGATAATTTTGGTTTGCCCAATTTCTATTTCTAGCCCATTGTTAATGGCCATCCTGGGGGTCTCATCGTCAACTGGGATAACCAGGATGAGAACTGTCTTTTGCACTGAATGCTTGCCATCTGTGAGCTTAATCTCAAAACTGTCCTCCTGTGTCTCGGAGTCATCGTGCTCATATATGATGCTAGAACTCTCCACGATCTGGTCCAGGGTGAAACTCTCGAGCAAAACTGTCCCGTTGATCAACTGGTTCATGATGTGGCCGTGGGTGGGAAACTGGGTAATGGTGAAAGTTAAGACATCTGGGGGGATATCAGCATCAGCAGCATTGAGGATGGGGGTGTCGATGACCAGACTCATGCCTTCCATCACCATAAATTCTCTCATGAAGAGTTCGGGCTGTTCATCGTTGGTGGGAATGATAACGATGGGGAAAAAATATCTGTCAGAGAAATTAATGCCATCAGAGCACCGAAATATAAATCTGTCTTCTACCGGCTCCACCCCTCTGTGGACGCTCTGCACGTAGTTAATGTGATCCTGCCTGAGGTCTTTCAGGTGGAAGGCGCTGATGGCAATACCCGCTCTTGATTTCTCTGAGCCTGGTGCTGGAGAAATGTTCTCAAGGTAACCTGAGGCAGGCTGGGTCATGAGTGTGCACAAGATGTCATCGTTGAGGGAATCGATGTCTTCGGCATCGATGTGTGTCGAGGTTATGAGACCTTTCTCACCTTCCATGACGGTAAACCTTTCACCCACAGAAATTTCTGGAGACTGGTTATCAACAGGGAGGATGGTCACCCACACGGTAACTCCTCGGACAGTCCTGCCACCTACTCGCCATTCTTGAGACATAGCTGACAGACTCAGGTTGAAAGAGTCCTCTCGGGGCAATAAGCCAATCTCACCACTAGTGTGAGCATAGACAACAGACCCTTCTAAGACGTCTCTTTGGGTAAACTGCTCTGCGGGGGCTCCATTGATGAGGATTTCCCCATGCACGGGTGGGTCCTCCAAGAGGAAAGTCAACATCAGATCATCAGTGTCCTCATGGGTCCCCTTGATCACGTGGGCAGTAATCTCAGCAGCTCCATTTTCCAGAACATCTAGGTAGGACCTCAGCGTGCCAGCATGAAGGCTTGTCAGGGGCACCTCATGGTCTACTGGTCGGATGCTCACTTTGAGAGTGATGGGTACCACGTGGTGTCTGTCACTGACTTCCAAGGAGTAGCTATCAGTCAGGGACTCACCCCCAGCATGGGCGTAGGACACCTGACCCTGCTTAATGTCTGCAAGGTGGAAGATGCCACCCACCTGCAGCCTCTGTCTGGACACGAGCACGTGGCCATGCTTGGGAGGCTGCGTGAGCGTGAAGGAGATGTGGGCTGTATCAGTGTCCACATCAGTGGCATGCAGCTCGGTCTCACTCAGGACGTGGTGGCCTTTTGCCTGAACAGTGAAGCCTGTGTTGAGTATCTCAGGTGGCTGGTCATCCACGGGCTGCAGGTAAACGGTGAAGGTTCCTGTGGCCACATTTCCAGCTTGATCCTCCACCTGGAACAGGAACTGGGCCACGCGGGCAGCCACTCCCAGCTCCTCATCGGGGGGCCTGTAAGCAATTTTATGGTGGTTGATCTGGGCTTGGGTAAAATGGGTTACCGTGACTGAGGGGTTGTCAGCCAGGACTAAGGTACCCAGAGGGGCGGGTGAGTGGTTTTCATCTGTGTCCATGGGGGGCTGGGTCACAGTATAATGCAATTCCCGGTCATCTGTGTCCAGGTCGGTGTATCGCAGCCACTTCTTCTTAAGGGGTGTGAGTTGGTATTCCTGTACCACCATCCGAAGGGGACAGCCACTGCCCAGCTCAGGGGGAAGACGGTCCACTGGATGGATTCGTATCACCAGCCTCTGAAGGCCTGACTGATTAGGGGGGTCATGGTTATCCTGGACCCTGAACATGAGCTGATCCGTGACTGGCCCGGGACTGTGGGGGCCCGAGTGTCTGTAGAACAGCCTCCCCTCCACGATGTCCTGCTGCTGCCACTCTGTCACCGTGCGCTCATAGAACGACCCTTGCTTCCTCCAAGGCCCCCGGAGGAGGTCCTCCTCGAAGGGAGGATGGGTCTGGCGGAGAAGCAAGTGACCCACAGCTGAGTAGGGGGGCTCCAGCACAAAAAGCAGAAGGGAGTCATCAGAGTCCATGTCTGTTGCACTCAGAGTGAGGGGTGGGATGGGCACTGTTTCACCCTCTGCCAGCGTCAGGCCTGTGTTGGCGTTGAGGACCGGGGGCTGGTCGTCAACCGGCACTAAGGTGACAGGGAACAGGAACTGCACCTGGTGCCTGCCTCCCCCGTCCACCATGCGAAACACCAGGTTGTCACTCAGGGAGTCATCTCTGTCATCATGCTGGTAGAGCACCTGACCAGCTGCCAGCTGGGCCACAGAAAAGGTCTTGGGGGCCGAGTGACCAGAGGGGGTGCCCAAAAGGACGAGGTGACCATGCCGGAGTCCAGCAATCACCTCCAGCCTCACTGCCTCTAGGTCGTCCTCATCGCTGATGACCAAGTTCTGCGGTCCAACGTCCGGAGGGCCTGTGAGGGGCTGGGACTGACCCTCGTAAAGAATGAGCCCTGTGTTCCGGGTCACCACCGGAGCCAGGGTGTTCATGGGCTTCACCACCACCATGAAGGCAAAGGGGTCAGAGGCTGCCCCTTCGGGGTCCACTACCTCCAGCTCTAATTCAAAGAGACGCTCCTGGTCCGAGTCCTCAGAAGGGGGCTGGTAGGCGATTTTCAGGAGGCGCAGGTCTCTCTGTGTGAAGGAGGACAGAGGCAGACTGCGGTCATCAGTGCTCACCAGGTAGCCCTGGCCAGGCTGGAATGGAGAGGTGAGGTTGAAGACCAGCAGGTCAGGGGCGGACTCAGCGTCCTCAGCTGCCAGCATGTCCAGGGTCAGGGCGGTCAGTACAAACTGGTCCACCTCCATCATCATCATGGCTACAAAACTGGGCTTGGGGGCAGTGTTCTCCGTCCCTCCGCGGATCCTCACCAGCACCTGGAAGTGCTCGCGCTTCAAAGCGGGGCTCTCCACCGGAGTTCCCCGGGCGCGCAGCTCCACCACCATGGGCACCCAGTCTCTGTTCGGGGAGCGACTGGGGGCTGTGTGGCGGTAGCGCACGCCCAGCTCCTGGAAAGCTTTGCAGTCCATCAGGAGAGGCTCCAGGGCGCCCCCATCCCTGCCTCCGCCCGGGACCTGCGGGTAGTGGAGAAGTTCACCATAGCGAGGCAGCGCGCTCAAGCCGGACAGGATGCCCACGCGGCACTCCTCCGTTTCAGGCTGGTAGGCAAACTCCAGGCTCCGTGCGTCCAGGGCATTACTGGTCCCCAGCAGCTCCTCCACTACGAGGGGTAAGTTCCGAGTCACGACCTCCAGCTGGGTGAAAACCACCTCCACCTCCAGCACGAGCGGCAGCACCACCGCCCCTCCCGGCGAGTCATAGCGCAGCTGCAGCCGGACTCGATCCCGCGATGGGCTGCGCGCTCCCAGGTGAGAGTAGCGCACCTCGCCAGGGCCAAAGTCGCAAGGGAAGCGTTTGGGACTCAGGCGACCGGGCCGCTGGGCCAGCGCGTCATTGTCCAGCACGGTCAACACACAGCGGTCCCCTGGCTGCACCTGCAGCACCAGGTCGTGCAGAGGGTCCAGCCAGACCTCCCGACCGAAGGGCACCCGGAGCCCGCGGTTCGCCAGCACTATGGCTTCTTTGGCGGGGATCCCCACAGTCCCTGCGAGACCTGAGGACAGAAATGCCCGGCCAGGGGTCGCGGGCTGGGCCAGGGCTTGGCTTACCGGTGACAGGAGTGGCAGCAGCAGCAGCAGAAGTCCAGACAGTGGTGGAAGCATAAGCTGCAAGTTGGCTACAGCCAGCGCACAGGAAAGGCTCGTGGAGGTCCCGGCTGCGCGCATGGTTTGGAGTCAGGGCTCGGACAGATCCACCGAGGAGCGTGCAAAGTTAGTCCCCCAGCAGACAGCAAAACACCCCTGAGAGTGCCAGTTCTCCATTCGCTATATGCGGGGCCTTCTGGAAGTCCGTTCTGGGCCACAAGGATGGGGAAATTGCCTACCGTGGTACCTGCAGGAGTTGCTGGCCCTGGAGCCTGAACGCACTGGCCCCAGGGGCTGCTCACTCTGCGTTCAGTCTCCTGCAACTGAGTCCGCCCCTCCTCCTTCCCGGGTCCCCCAACCCCGAGCATTGAGGGAAACCCCTCCCCTCGTACCCTTCGCTGGGTCCAGCTCTCCAGGGGCCAATCGCCGGTCCCGGGAGGAGGCCCAGAGCCCAGGGTTGGGCAGAGATTTCTGTCAATCAGTTCCTAAACGAGGCGGGGAAACCATGGGCCGTGAGGAGAGGAAGGATCAACAGGTTGTTCTAGAAAAGAGCAGCTGTTTGGCCAGGGCTCCGAGCGCCCTGACCCCCTCCGGCTCCGGACAGCCAGGGCTTCCCCAGGGACCAGGACCTCAAGTAGCCAAAGGGGATTCCTCCTTGTAAATCTCATCCCCCAATTTCGTGAGATCTAGAGCAGAGGAAGAAAAGTGAGTCCCAAAGCCACTTGAGTTTGAATGGAAACCAAGAGCAACTTACAGGCGACCCAAGAGGGTATTTGCAAAAGCAAAGGAATTAGAAAGTCCAAACAAGGGCAGCTTGCAGCCCCTATCTGACCACCTCCACTTCAGAGATTATACTGAGTGCAGTCCCTGGGTTGGGGGAGTTTTTAACGACCCTCCCACCCCTTGTGCCAAAGTTCACTGCGTGCGCATTTGGAATGCATGAGAAATGTAGGCTGCTGGAATCGGAGACTCGGGTTGAAGAATAAATTGGAGAGAATGTCGCCCCGGGCTGTCCCAGAGCCGCCACTGTTATGGCAGTTGTCATTAAGAGACGTCCTGGTTCTCTTCGCAGTAATTAGACCAAGTACGAACTGAGCCCACCTGTCAGCATCGCATTTCTTAGCCTGCCAAGGGAATTGATTAACAGCCGGAGGGCGACAGAAAATAGGGTAGAACCTGGAGTCAGGTTTTGAAGTCACAGCTTGAGCTGTTCCTGCCCCCTTGTGTTGGTCGGGTTTCATGAGCTCCCAGAGCTCTTTTTTTAATAAAAAGCTTTTCTACGCTGCACCCTCTTCCTCAAAAGAGAACTCTCAGAGTTAAAGCCTACTCATTTTCAAATTTGTTCTTTCGGGAACCATGCAAATCCTGGTCAAAAAGCAATTTATTTTTTTTTTTAAAGCAACAATCCTCTCCAATGATACGACTCTGATTATTAAAAGGACTGTAGAATTAGAATAATAGTCATCTTGCCTCTTTTCCAGTGCAAAGGTATTTTAGGTTTGAGAAAGAGGCAGCCGTCCTGCTCTTTTAGGCTTCAATGGATATTGAAGATGCCAAATGCTTATATGGGTAAATTTTAAAAAAGGCACACCATCTTTTTAACCCTTTGCTGTCTTTAGCTGGAATTCTCCTGAGCCCGGATTTTCTTCCTACCACCTCTGAACGTTAGGTGCAGAAAAAACAGCAAATCCACTGTCACGCTGTGGGTTCCTGACTCCAGGTCCACCTCCGTGAGGTTTCTCAGGCTATCGGTCTTTATAGGAAGATGCTACCCATCTGTCTTCTATGGAGTGAGTTTTAAAGGGTTGTCCTTTGCCTAACAGTAAAGCATTGGGCCACCAGGGCTCCTTCAAGTGTAGATGGAAAACAACCAATTTTTCACCAGAAAGCTTACTTTGGGGCAATGTCTGCTGTTGTGGGGAGTCAGAGAAATGCAGCATTCTTAAAACAAATTAAAAAAAAAACCACAAAAACCCAACAGCCCAAAGAAAAACCCCAACAACTCCAAAACCCAAAAACCCAAGTAAGAGAATTTCTAATCTTTAATATAACGTCCAGGAAAATAGGAGCCAACTAATCAAGCGAATATTCAGTAAATCATGTACTACTACTACCTGCACTTGTTTCAGGAGCCCTCTTCTGTTAGAAGGAATTTTTAAAATTCTCACTTAAAATTGACTGACTTATTCCATCAGTTAGTACAAGATCAACATTTGTACACGTTATGTATGAGGTATAGTGGCCCATATTTCATAAGAACAGACTTTAGGGAATATACAAGGGTTTGGGTTTTTTATATTATTACCAATATTATTACCCAACTCTTTTACCCAGTATTTTATTTTATATTATTAACCAATATTGTTACCCAATTTTATTACCCAATTTACCAGTATTCCAGTTCCTGCAAACCCCACCTATGACCACTCTCATTCAGGGTTTTTACAACAACATTCAACAATGCAGAGTGAATTTGCTGACGCTATCATAGTCACATGTTTACCTTTAAGTGTTTCTTTGTTATGTTTCCAGTCCCCCCAAAACTAGTAAAGATTGAATTTACAAAGACATTGAAAATGAAAGCCAATAATAATAAAAGCTTAAAAACGATATTTGACTCACATGAGAACTCTTTTATAATTTCTTATGGTTAGTTTTTACTGCTTACAAATATCAAATTGCAGAAACATCAGACTGTTTTATTATTTTGTATAAATAGGAAGATACTAAGTGAAATAGAAAGCCAGTATCAGAATATGGGTCTTTATCTATTTCAGATTCTATATAGTGTTTTGTTTTGTTGAATTATTTTTTAAGATGTTTAGGTAATATCTACTTTCTCCCCATTTACTTATCCAGTAAAAAATACACTTTACAAAATATTTGCCATCTCAATAATGCTTAATATGTATAATTTCATTGCACCAATTATGATTTTCATGTAGTTCAATCATTACTAATATCTTTTTCTAACTGATCCTGTCACCATTAAGAAATCTCCATTTCCTAAATATCAATTTCCATTTTCATTCTTCTTCCCACCCCTGATGAGCAAGAATCAATTTTGGGATCTATTTTTTGTCTGTTTTTATTATTCTAATCACTCAGTCAATATTAAATAATGAGAACTTAAAAAGAACTAAAAACAAACAGGCATTTGATTCACATCAGAACCAATTCACTATTGAGGCTTTGGAAGAGAACCTCACTGTAAATTGGAATTGCCTGTGCAAACACAGAGTGGGCAAAAAGAGAGGGCAAGTTTCAAGGAGATGAATTGATACAGTGACTCTAACAACAAGCTTGAACATGACAGAGGCCATGAGGATGAGGCTCAGGATAGGGCAAGGTCTCCATCTGTGGTTCACAAGGTTGCTGTGAGTTGTGTTCAACACGAAGGCACCCAACAACAACATATTTTAATTGAAAAAAACAAATGTCAACTGCGCATTGTAACCTTGGCTAAGTTTTGATTCAAACTCCATCAGCAGCCTGGCTACCCCCAATCACCTCTTCCCTCAAAGCTTGTAGCAGCTGCAGGATTTTCCTTTCCTCCTTTCAATGTCTCACTCTGTTTGACTTTCAAGCAATGATAAGATCAGCATTTGAAGTATGGTAGAATGCCTGAAGGGCACAGTTCAACATTTTGCTTCATGGGAAGGAGAATACAGGGCCATTTAAATGTTTTAAAAAGACTCTATGGAAATGTAAAAGAAAAACAAACCCAAACAGTTTTAATTTCATTTTCTTTTTGAAATGATGGAATGATTCTTGAGAATTTGGGGAGTATATTTTTTTCTTGTTTTTACCATAGAAGATGCAACTAATGTTATTATTTGCTTAAGTATATAATACACTGATGATCATTGATAAAATAGCAGAATGATGATATACTAAATTCTCAGTTAAAGCAAAAAGTGTTGATTACGTTCACTCTCTGGGGGTCATAACTTAGCACTGAAAAATCTTGACATTAGCAAAGCCAACATTCTGAGTAACAATAAAATAATGGACCCTTCAGGCCAGTATAAAAGAAAAATTTATTTTTTTTTAAAATGCACCCTTAAGAGACAAAATAAATTCACAAAGTAAACATTTAATTAAAAAAAAATCTGCGCTTAACACTTGAGGTTTTACTTTCTTAAGTTTTGTAATATTTTCTATCAATGTTCTGTGGACAACGTACTTAAATAAAAAGTGGTTTTTGTATAATATGTGAAAAAATATACCAAAATAATCTGTCTCACAGTTCCCCTCAATTTGACTTAATAAAGATCATTGTTGTTTATTAAAACTCAAATTATTTCTATCCTGAAGTAAAGCACCTATGAAATTGTTTTTGAAGTTAAAGGAGGTAATGGGATCATTTTTTCCTTCTGATTGGACAAATCATTTTTTATTTTTCAATTTTTTTAATTTTAACTGAGATTTTAACAAGAATTTAGAGAGAAGTTGGATTTCCATTCACTCACTGTTGCACATTTTCCTCCCTACCAAGCCTCCAGTTTGTTTTTCTCTTTAAAAAGCCTTTTTTCATTGTTGCACAATTTCCTCACCCACCCTAGTCCACTTTACTATGCAGCTCTTATTCTGTACTGTTGACATGCAGATACTACCTAACCATATATTCCTTTTAAACAGTTCTTTCCTTTATTGTTTCAATGCCATGTACATTGTCCACTTTTACCTTAGTTTCCTCCCAACTCCCATGTCAGTCTGGTTTTATGACAGTGGCATTATGCAGTATTTGTCCTTTTGTGACTGAGATATTTCACTCAGTATAATGTCCTTGAGGGTCACCCATTTTGTATATTTCATGAGTTCCTTGTTTTTCAGTGCAGTGTAGTATTCCATTGTGCAATACACCACAGCTTCTCTATCCATTTGTTGATGGACACTTGGGTTATTGAAGCTCAGATGTGAGATGCTGTTGAGTCAGTTCTTGCATATAGTGACTGAGCATAGAACACAACTCAATGTTGCCTGGCCACCTTCACAGTCGCTGTGAGCTCGGAGCCCTTTGTTTCTGCCAGTACATCAGTCTACTTCACAGAAGATCTTCCTTTTTCCCATCGACACTT